TTGAGGTTGATACCGAGGGATCGAGTAGGCAGCTGGGCAGCGCCCTGAGGTGATGCCTAAATTTATGAATTCGTTGCGCCTGTGATACATAACCGGTTGGAAAAAATGCTATTTCATGAGGTAAATCGAGTTGCTCGACTCCGTACTAAACAGTTTTCGATTCTTTCCTATACCTGGATTTTCCGGAATACTATAATATTTGAGTCTTTTTTGGCCAGGAAGTAAATAAAAATGTTACAAAAAATCGAAAAAACGATAAAAAATCAGAAAAAACGAAAAGAAAAATCAGTAAAAAACGAGAAAGAAATGAGTTTCCAATGAAAAATTACAAAAAAAATCAGGAAATTGTTCAACTGGTTGTTGATCGAGTTGGCTCGAACATTGGATGGTTATAAAATTTTTCTGAGTTCTGTGTTGTTCGAACTGGTTTAAGTCTGCGATATTGAAATTCGGTATTTAAAAATTGTTTCGGGAAATATGTTTTTTTCATTTTTTTTCACATTGGATTTGGGTCTTCCTTCCATTAATCTTAATTGGGCTTTTTCTCTGGCACTGGAACTTTGTTGATTCATTGATAAGGCTACAAGATTTACGTCTTTTGGGACGCCAATCCTTCGTCGAGAACAGAGACATCAGTAGCTGATAAGTTATCGATGGTTGTATTTGCTTGAAACTCTTTCTAAAGAACAGTACCCGGAGGTTGTCTGTGTTGTGTGTGTGTTGTGTGTGTGCATGTATGTGTGTATGCGTGTATGTGTGTATGCGTGTGTATGTATGTGCGTGTGTTGTATGTGTGTGTATGAGATCGCCGTTTTTTGTTAATCTTATCATTTTTATCATTTTCAGATTGGCTTCTTTTGAGTTGCTCCATCAAAAAAAAGAGACTCAAATTTTGTGTCATTTACTCTTAGAATTTTTTTTCCTAATATCTTTTGGCTGGTATGGTGGAATTAGTGATTTTAGTCTTAGTGTTAGAGGAAGATTTATGCATCATGTGGATCATTGAAAAAACCAATTTTCTAGGATTCATTGCTTTGTTTCGGTCGAAAATCTTAGTGCTGAGTGCTCCAGGGACTATCCAGCATGTTTTTCTTTGTTTTTTTTTTTCCTTTTCTGATATCCCTAGGAAATGAAAACTGGTGGCCAACTCCTATTTAAAAATGACCAGAGGGCAGATTCAAGTGATTTCATTCATTTTCAAGTGAAATATGGGGAGGGAATTTTAGAAAGTTCTTGAAGAAATTAACGATAAAATCAAAAACGGGTGGAAAAGGCTTGGCGGAAAACTAGCGTAATTAACTTTAAGCTATCCAGTAACTTTTTCTTTTACCCACCCTTATTACTTCTCATCAATCCTCTCTTTATTCACTCTTATGGCAGGCGTAGACACTCGGAAGTATTTATAGGATAGTAAGTGCCAACAGCAGTCAATCACTGGCAAAGCTGTCGATGGTTCTCTCTTTCAGTAGTTGTTTAGAAGCAAGCTGATGACGGGTTTGTCTCCCTGGGTATGAATGAAGCAATCGTAGGAGGATTGTTTGTTCCGGTGAGGGAGCCAAACTCCGTACCCCTGCTTCTCGATAGCAGTGGTACCTTCAACAGTATTTTTTGGAAAAGTGTCATTTTGGGTTTCATCTTTCACTTCGTCTTTCCGATTTTTTGCATAAAAATTTCATACAAAGTGCAGTTTGTACCGCTTCAGATGTGCCCTTTTGCGAAAATCTGGTAATTTATGCTTAATAAGGCTATGATGATAATGTTTTTATTCGAAATCAATCAGATATGTGGTACAATGTTAAGTATGATAAGTGTTGTGAGCAACAGGCATGTAACCGTCACAGCAATCCACCACACCACACGTTCCCAGTTTTTCTTACGGAAATTCCGCAGAACAATGGTACCCATCAGAACTCCGGCAATGAAACCAGCGAAATGCGAAATATGAGAAACCTGAAAAAAAGCCAAAATCTTAAAGTGAGAGGAAAAAAAACAGCAGATGGGGTTTTTTTCGGAAGTTTTTGGGTTTTTCGAAAGTTTTCGAAAAATTTACTCTTTTTCACGAATTACGTTTATATTTTTGTTTGAACTTAACTAACTAACTTAGCATTAAATATCTAATAACAGAAAAATATTTTAATTGTGGAAGAAGAAAAAGCAAATAATATTAAAAAATTAGTAAAAGTTGCAAAATATTATAAAATATAATAGTAAGCAATGTTTCGGTCCATTAAGTCGTATACATTTCTTACTAACTTTCACTAATTTTCTGAAAATAAGTTTTTTGAAATGTTGTATTAAGGAGGAAAATACTTTTTTATAATTCAGAACTTTAACGATAAAGAGAAATAAATTTGGCCGATCTCCGAAGTGGCACATATACAGACAGTGATTCTGGCTGCAGGTATTTTGTTCGGGAGCAGAAAGTCCAGGAATACCCCAGTAACATCATCACCAACATGGGGTCCCACTTTTGTTGTCTGGACGCTCTTGATTGATATTTTTAAAATTAAATGAATAAAATTGTTACTAAAAAACAACTAAGGAACGAAAATTGGTATTTTTTCCATGAAAATGTACCTGTCCTTTGTCCACTTTTCTAGCTACTAAAACACCGGAAGTGTTTATTTTACATTAATATGGTACTGTGGTATTTCTGAGGCCGAGCATTAAAGGCCAGATAGGAGAGCCTGGGATTTTACAGTGGCCCAGAGATCCTAAACGGTCCATGGATTGGAATTATTGAAGGAGTAGCACTAGCAAGTTCCAGTTATTACAATTGATCGAGAGGTTAGGCCGATTTCTGAGTTCAGATTTTAGAACATAAGCTGATTTTTGGATGTTCTTTTTTTGTGGAAGGGGGTGGGGGAGTTTAAAAACTGATAGTTTCAGTGCAAGAAGCAAACCTTGTCAGTGGATTTGAGGTAGTATCGGTGAAAGACAGCTTGGGAGACATCGCTTGAGATCAGTACCAGAAGACCGAAAGCACGGAGCAGTGCAAACTCCATTTCAGACCAGTTAATGAGTAATTCCGCAATATGAGCAGCAAGCAAGGCATAAACACCGCCGGATGCTCCAGCAAGATATGTCTTCTGATCGATCGCATAATTCAGCAGTGAGCCTAAAAAAGAGCAGGGTTTTTGCACGAAAAAGGAACATCTGTGGGAATTCCGAAGACGATCTGCTAATAACCTTGCATGGATACTATACAGATATACATATGTGTTTATTTATGTCGGTTGGAAGACGTATATGTCTTCCGATCGATTGCATGGTTTAGTAATTTATATAGGATCCTCGGTATATAAAACTGAAGATCCGATGAGTCGTGGCCTATGTATATTGTCGAATCTTCCATGTCAGCATCTACCGTCTGAGTGCCTCTTCGTAATCGGTCTTATTACCAGTACTTATGATTTCTGCGAAAACTCATTCTCTTAACGTCTCAACACTGTATTATTTAACAAACTATCTGTGTAACATACATTCAGCCCAACATCCACATTGGTTCCTTCGATTCATCGACACATCTGTACATGGTACAGGAACTAACCACACTTTAATCATATATATGTATGTATAGTTTAAGTTACTACACATATAGATTTATACATACATTTATATATCCACTGCCCATAAAGTATATATTTTACATGTAGTACTAGCAATTTTGGGAATTACGAAAACACCTGGTTATATGTGTGATACAAATTTTGCGTGATTTTGAGAGAATGCATATGCATTGAGCGACTTTTGTCCAAGAACGACGAAATATTTCACATGCTAGCAAAGGGATATCAAAAATCGGATCTAAGGCGCCAAATTTAAGCAAACCGGGAAAAATTGGAGGTCCGGCCTTAATACGGGGGATTTTTGGAGTCACTAATTCTAAGTTCTATGTTTTGATGAGAACGACACTGAGTTATTATATTATAATGAATTTTAGAATTTAATAATAACTTTTTCGCATTTCGATGATCCAAAAACTTACCAGCTAAAACTCCAGACAAATATACCAGAGCAATGCGCCAGAATTTGTGAACCAGTTCTAACGGAATTCCAAGTATGATCTGTGTTAATACGTTAAATGCTAAATGTATTATTCTGAAAATCACCATACTGTTAGATTCGAGATTAAAAAAATCCGAAAAATGATTTTTCTGGAAAAATTCAAATTTAATTTTTAGAATGATGGCGTATTTAGAATTTTTCCGGACTGGGATGTCTGCCAAAAATTTTTAAAGAAAAATTGTTTTTTTCAAATTTTTCTCTTTATTTTTTCACCAACCACATTTTAGCAATAAAAATTTATTAATTTCCGTCAGTATCAAAGTTATTGACGTCGATAGTCACATTAGTTTTCCCATCTAGTGGTCATTCGCTAAATCTTCTACGCCTCTTCCACATCCTCAGTTTTCTGTCAAGATTTCTACAATTGGGAAATCGGATTCCCTTTCTTATCTAGGGAAATTTTAAAATATACTGAATTGCTTTTCGGAGATAATGGTTTGAAACGGTTATTGCATGACCCTCATGTATGAAAATGTCTCTTTCGTATTCTCTCTCTACGATCATAGAGGCTTTATGAAGAAGCCCGAGTGGTAGCACGTGCCAAAAGCAACCACTCGGTGGCAAAACTATCGATGGTTTCTTTACGTCACTTAGGAATTATATAATCACTTATTCTAGAACTGATAACTTTATATTCACTTTTAGGCAAAGGATACGTTTTTGCCTCTGACTGTTTTTTGTTCGTTGCTGCAATTACTATTTCAAAGTATAACTTACCCAATATGAATGAACATATAAGTGAAATATCGCCATATCTCATAAGTTTTCCGAGGACTGAATATGAGAGGAGATTTCTGTGGCACAGGCTCGTACAACTCAATTCCACTTTTCATTTTTACCACATAATATGCATAAACTGCAATCTGAAATTTCGCATTTTGATCGAGTACGCCTAGAAACCTCGGTCCGATTCGTTTTTTTTTCCTGACACTATTAATTTCTCAGAATTTTTTTAAAAAAATACAGAATTTTAAAACAATTGAAGCAAGACACAAGTTTTCTAAAAAAATTTGAAATTTCCGAAAACCAAAAATTCTGCACTGCATCCGATGGATTTTGAAAAGACGGCGACTCATACTGCATTTGTATAAATATAAAAATGCAAAAAAGTGTTGGGTTTAATGGATTGTTTCCTAATTTTTCTACATTTTCAGCTATGTTGAATAATTCGAACTGCTCTTCTGGTTTCATATTACATAAACTGTTACTCAGCCTTCTGGATCAGGGACCGTAAAATCCGGTCGCGTAAAAAATTACCTCCAAAATAGATATGCAAATCATGAAAAAAGGTGGTGGGAAGCAATTGTACTGCTGCAAATAGCTAAATGGTACTGTACGACTGCTTCGCGGCACCACCATTTGCGCCGC